TAGCGCAGAGGTGTGCTCCAGGCGCAGAACTCCTTGTGGCAGGGAGGGAATCGCTTCCTCCTGCTCATCCTTTTATCTTTTTTTTTTTTTTTTTTAATCTCCTTCCTTTTGCCCCGAGTGATGGGCTCTGCTAAAGGGCAGGAAGAGGTTTTGCTGTGGTACCAGTATCAGCGCTCGGGCTGCTCCTGCTTCTCCGAGCAAGGCTGTTGGCTGCAGGCACTGGATGAAGGCTGTGGCTGAAGAAATCTTCTCCCCTTGGCCCTTTTTGGGACCAAGGGGAATTATGTACTGGGGGACAGGATCTGTTGCCAYGAGGGATGCGGAAGGCATGTAGTGKCTGCATGGATTCAGGGAGGGTCAGCAGGGAGCCTTTGGAAGCTCCTGTGGAGGTATTTAGGGGAAATGCACAGCAAGGAGTTTAGATTCAGGTTGGAGTAAAGGATTGTGGTCTGGGGGCTTGAGAAATGCAGGGGTTCCTGTGAGTGGGGGAAGGCAGGTGAAACTGTGAAGTTCTGCCCAAGGGGATGTGCACTGGTAAGGAAGAATAAGGAAGTGAGGTGTTCTATTTTTCCRTAGTGACTTTTTTCCCCCTTGTGGTCTGCTCTTCCTCGATTTCCCTTTCTCTGCTCTTTCTCTCATACCAGTAAGTGGAGCTAGCCTTTTCTCTGGCAGCCTACTCATAGATGGCCCTAATGAGATTGTCGCAATCACCGTGTAAGGGTACATGAAACCTAACAATGGCTATCAAAAACAAAAAAGAGAGAGGAAAAAAAAAAGGAGAGGAGGAAGAACAAAAACCCCAGCACCTCCCCTCCCCAAAAAGGCAGATCTAAAAGCACGCTAATTTCATTTTTGTTTAGTGACAAAAGTTTCTCTCAAAAGTAGAAATCAAAGTAACTTGAAATGAGAAACAGGCTTATGTTTGCCTATAGCTGTTCTTTTATGTAAAAGAATCAAATAATGTTTTTACAGAACTGATTTTACTAATACCAACATGCTGTTTTTAATTAAATTTGTGAATATTTTATATCCTTTCCTATAAAGGAATGATTAAATTTGAAAAGTAGAAATACTTTTTCTGTCATTTGAACTTTCATGCCGTATTTCTTACTTGAGTCTTCTTTTTTGTTTTTGTAACAATATAATGAAGATTTTTTTAGAACAAGGAACATAAAATTGGGGGTAAATTACTTCTCAGCTCATGTTTGTGCATTCCAAGCTAATTTGAGCAAATTTGATGTTGTTTAAAATCCTATAAATAATAAAAATAAAATTATTATTCTGGTGGTGTGAGCTCATATTCACCAGTGACACACGTTCTGTTCTTATTTGTGATGTGCCGCTATTAAGTCTGTGAACATAGAAAGGAATAAAACATGGATATTTTGTGGCAGATGTACTGAATAGATGCTTTAACAGTGCTTGCTTGATAAAAATGACTTCTCTCTATCTTGGTGTGTGTTATGAGTGGAAGTTAGTGTTTTTTATATAATTTTCTTATAGCCTGTTTTATCCTGAGTGAATAATCCTTATTTCTTTTGAAGTCTGAATTCTTACATCAAACTCYGTTTTGACAACACTTGTGAATTACTTTTAATAAGATTTGTGACTTGAGACTTACTAACAGCTTTTAAGTAATGTTTAAACAAGGGACATTCAGGCTACTAGGTATAAATAAAGGCTGGCTGAAATAATGAAACAAAAGAGGAAGCAGTGTCCTTCTGGTGTAGGTGGAGATTACTGTCCTAAAACATTAGAAACATCCGCATGGTTAGAAGAACTTTTAATATAGTGTGTTTGCTAGATATGCTCTATTTACTGAGGGAACTTCAACACCAGTGGTCTATAAAGGTTTTTAAAAATAATGATTAAAAGGAATTGAAAACAGTTGTCTTTGTCATTTGTATATGTATGAATGACATATATATGAGTATTAACAATAATAAATGTTAATGGTGAAAAAGGTTAATAGTGAAATCTGTTTTCTCATTATAGTGTTGCTTGCTAGGGGATAAATCTCATATAGTTGTATGGATRTTATTCTTGTTCCGTGGCTCCCGCTTACACCCAAAGGTGCTGCCGTTGTGTATTCGGAAAACTTCTCTGTCATGAATGCAGCTCAGTACGTGAATGTAGTGAGACTATTCACTCTTTAGAAATTTTCAGAGAGATGTGTAGGGTGGTTGTTGTTGTTTTTGAGGGGGAGGGAGGAGGAGAGTTGAAAAGTGAAAATCTGCTTGTGTTTTTTTATAAAGCTGAGCTTTCAAGTTTGTTGCTGCTGGTAGCTTTGTCRAGCAGACCCCAGTGTAGCTAATTGTGTAGTTTGGTGAATGCTTTAAGACTGCCCTGGCGCAAAGGGAGGCAGCCCTATCTGGCTGCTGTTGCAGCTTTCCTGCTCTGGCCTGAGTGCTGGTGGGTCTGTACAATGAAACACAAGAGAAGAAATCTTTGTGGGAGGAGATGATCAGGAACACAAGGAAGATAAAGGATAGGAAAGAAGGGGCTGTTTCTTCAGACTGGCAGGGCCAGTTTGTTCAGCTTAATGTATTATGGAACACTCATGATGTATTTTTTTTTCTTTTAATAGGGAAGTTAAATGGTCAAGCGCCCAGTATTTCTTTCCTCATATTTTGGACAGAAAGTGAGGGGTGGGTGGGAGCAAAYGGAGTGCCCAAACCCAGCAATGCATAGCCCTGGTGTGTTCCAGCATAGACCACGTCCCTAGCAGTGTGGGTTGGCAGTAACATTTTTGTGTCTTGGTGTACATTTTTGGCACTTTCTGGGTCTCTTCTGAGAACAGTTAAGCGATAAGTTTCATAAGAGGGACAACTAGCCACGAGTTAGCAGTTGATGTAATTGCACAGTAACGTAGGGTGCACAGCACCTCTCTGCCCTTCCCTGTTGCTCTTATTTAACGTGATGTGCTATAGTGACTTCAGACTGTGGTGCTGGGCACAAGAGGCTCTGCTGGAAGAGGCTGTGGGTGGTTTTATATGATGTCATGGTCAATGTATTGTATGTGCAGAAGAAGAGAAACTTTCTGCAAAAGTGGGAAATGTGGAAGTGTGCAAACAGAACTGTTTTCCTAAATAATTTTGGATATACACTGCCCTTCTTTAAAGCAGTTATAGTAATGTGCAAGTGAAACTTTAATTTCTTGCATGCTGTGAGAATATTTATGTAGACAAACTTTTATTCAAGGCCAGTCTCTTCATTTTTAAGTGCTTTCTTTTCCTAAGATGAGCRTTTTGTTTTGTGGGCAACTGTTTTAATGTGTCAAGTTTTAACCTATTGCAATTAAGTGGAAACAAAGCAAAGAATGATTACGACTTTTCTTAATAAAAAATGTATGCTTTTTTATTCAAAACTCTTCTTTTAGAATTATATAGTCATAATATTAATTTTAAAAATTTCCATGGGAAGAAAGGCAGTAAATAGATTGTAGCTGACAGATGGACGTGTTTATGTTGTATTAAAAAAAAAAAAGTGCAGTTACCGGTCACCTTCCTAGAATTTCTTTGCAGAAGTTACTGCCAGGGTTTGAGTGAAAACTCTTCTTGTTCAGCTTAGATGTTTTGTAAGTGAAGACACTGTCTCATATCTAAATACTCAGCATCTAAAGCCTTGCCTGAGTTAGGACTTTGAGTTTGCTAACGCAAATGGGATTATTTTGAAAAGTTTGAAATACAGATAACATTGAAGAGTGTTTAGATATTGCTTTAAAGCCTACAACAGAACTTCACTCATTTAGCTAAAGCATGTATTGCTTTTTCTATGCTGAAATTCTGAATGCGTTAATTACCTTGTGTTAGCTAATACCATCTTGCCTTTTGTCTAGACAAGATTTGAAATCGTCCCGTACACTACTGTGCTCCTTCAGAGACTCATGCTTGCTGCTGATGAGAACTAAAAACTTAATCTTATTAAAGCATATGTTTTGTAGAAATTGGAAATATCTTGGTCACTACTAGGGAATGGTAAGTGGACTTTTGAAAGCAGGGTTTATAAATACAACAAGTACTGCTTTTATTTTTTTTTTTTTTTTTGAGATGAAGGAAACTTTGAAAACCTTTGTAAACAGCTTTGATTGTAATGAATACATTGTTGAGATGCAGAACTACCGGGAGATGCATCCTACTTGTATTGAACTGTGACAAAATTCCAAGTCACTTCAGAGGAATTGGAAAGCTTTCTTCATGTTGAGTCAGATTACAAATGTATGTGTATTTTTAAGGGTATCTGTTAATTAAAAGGTGAGGGCAGAGAAAGGCTTGTGCATTTGAGATGAGTTTCATTATTTCAGTTATTCTTTGTGTCTATATATGTGCAAAAAACTTTCTTAAAAAATGAAATGTTGGTTATTCTGATGAACTTTAACGTATGTACATATTTAATGTAAAAATATGTAACAGAAATATTGTCATAAATATTATCACTAGTTGTTTTATGCAAAGTTTTCACAGTTGTCTTGGCTCCCCGCTCCTATTTTTGTGCCTTAAATGATGGCTTCAGTTAAGTGCAGAGCTGTATGTTACAGCATGTACAGGTCTGTTTACCCCTGTCCTTCTTRCCCCCTGCTCATGGCTGCATGCTGTCCTCTTTCTCCTATAATCCATCTCTGTTTGACCCCTCACTAAGCCAGTTGATTGGATAACCAAGCCACCTAAGTTTTTCTCTGGGGTACCAAGAGTCTGCTCTTTGAAGGACCTGAAGAGTCAGGTCTGTTGTGAAGTGAGGATGGGGAGTTTACCAGCCAGCTGTAAGCAAGGCTGAAGGAGGACTGATCAGATATGTAAGAGGTGTAGGATTGCACCTTCTTGGCATTAGCTATTGAGCTGATTTGGTCTTAACATGTTACACCAACTCCTGCAGTGAATTTGGCATTTCATGTGTTCTCTCTTTATGCTAAAGAGATTAATGTTTGAACCCATTTATGGAAATTCTCTCTACCTTTGAGGCTAGTCTTGTAGTAAAGGTGCGTGTCTATGACTTTTCTTTTTCTGTTACATAGGAATCAGAATTGCTGAAAGCACAAATAGAGAATCGTAAAATAATCTCTTCGTTGGCACCAGCTAAAGGTTTGAGGTAAGATTAACTTAATTCTACTTCTGAATGTTCTAATTCAACTCAGTCACTTGAAATGAGAGTTGATTCTGTTCTTCCAAGCTTTATGCTTGTGATATAAAAAATAAAACCCTAAAATGTATACCTCTTTCTGAAATAAATGTTTTGTATGTAAAGGTCACGCAGTGAATGACCTATGCCACTTTGTCCTACATAGAATAAAAATGTACAAACCTAATCATTGCAGAAAATTGCAGACAGATTTCTTTGAAGTGGAGATTGCCTTGTGTTATGAACTACTGCTGCATATCTGAAAATTGCTATATGTCCCCAAAACCCGGAGGGCTTTCTTTTCTATCATATTTGGAAAAAATGACATGGTGAGTGTCTTAAAATAGTTTAAACACTCCAAATGTTTGTGGCCTGTAAGCAGATGAACATAAGAGATTTTAAGGAACTTTCTGTGTGCTTAATTGACCACAATGAGTAAAAGTCATCTTCTCTGTTGTGTAAGTTTGATTCTTAATCRAGGGAGCACTTTAAAGACATCAGGCAACACAATCTTCCCTGAGATGGAGAATTCTTTCTTGGTTCATTTAATGGCAGATTTTAGTGCAGGTTAAATGTTGTTGTTGGGTGAGTTTCAGCTGAGATCAGATCTCTCTGAGGCCTCACAGATGCTTGTGCCACCGTGGTGAGGAACGTGGTACAGGAACAACCAGTGATAGGGAAAGATTTATTTATWTWTTTATTTATTTTCTCTGTTGGATTTGCTTGCACTTGCCTAAGGTTCGCTAAATTTTGTTAATGTTATAAGGTTGCTTGTTTGCTTTATCTCTCGACACTATTAAGATACCTCCCAAACTACACACAAAAAAAACGTTTATATGTAGTTCCTTGTGACRGAAAGTACTTGTCAAGTTGAACTTCTGTTTTCAATAAAGAATTTTTTTTAAGTATTAAAAAAGGCTCTTATGTATATTTTTAATGTAAAAGCTAAACATTTAATAGTTATTAAGCAAAAATGGAAAAATCCATAAACAATGATAATTTCGGACATTGAGAATACTAAGGCCTTAAAATATGATTACTTGTTATCAGTTTACCTTCAAAAGGACATCTCATGTGACCTTTTTTTAATAAGCTGGACAATGCTGAAAGAAAATGACAACGAGGCAAAGTTATATTAATTGGGAAATTTTAGACTAATCATGAAAGAAGAAGAAAGATTATGCTTTTTTATGGTTAATTATAAATATTTATTGCAATTATAAGTAACAATAAATTATAGTTTATTGTTGGTTTATCTTATTTTAGGACTCACTGCTTTATAATCCTATGTAATTTGATAGGTCATATTCAGTTTAAAAATACTACTGAATTTTGTTGTAAGCCGTATTATTTAGGTGGTGGTCATAAAATCCACAGTCAACTAAGTTGTTGTTTTTGTTAACAAGAACTAGTTTAAAAAGTTAGCTTAACCTAAAAAGAGGTATGATGGACATATTGGCAGGTGGGAAATCGGATCAGACTAATTAGGTTTAGTAAGTATGGTTAAGAGATAGAATGCTCCTGTCTCAGACTRTCAACTGCTAAACAGAGCTCCTGGGGGCTTTTACATTGCTTATATAAAAGTTTGACTGTAGTAGGCTGCCAAACTTGGAAGGATTAGTGTGTTGGAAGTGCAAGGAATCTATAAACTCACAGATAGAAAGAAATGGTTTTGTATGCTTATATAGGAAGTAGTTCAGAATTGGAATAAACAAATGCTAAGCCAGACAGGTTTGTTTGTTTATTTTTAATGGTAATATAGATGTATGGATTAAGAGTGATCTTTTTGCTGCGAGTAGGGGAAAAAAAACAGTTTTCATCTCCACACAGTGGTTTTAGCCGAAATAAAAAGTATAGGATCTCACATGAAAAGAACTTTGTTATCAATTTTTCGAAACATTTTAGCTTATCACACCTAACTGTTAAAACTGTATAAAATTAGTGGAAAAATATACATCTAACTCTTGATAACAAATGTGTAATCRTTCACGTTCCCATTATTTCTTGCTATTTTTGCAGAATTTTTTTTTTTCTTTTGCTCCCTCTCTCCACTTAGAGGATCAATTTTCGATTGAACTTTTGAAACCTTACTGACATGCTTTATGTCTTCAGACAAACTGCTTGCTACAGTTGTGTTAAATAAGTCTTACATTCTTTACGCTGTGGTATATGGAGCTTTTGTAAGTTACTAGTAAATAAATTCTTATCCACCTCAGAAGTCTTTTGTTTAAGAAAATTCTGAAATTCTGTACTTTCTTATTTTATAAAGCAAAAACAAATTGTTCGCTTGTATGATTTACAACAGTCTTTTTTTTCTTTCTTTTTTTTTTTTTTTTTTTTTTTTTTTTTTTTTTTTTGTTTTTCCTCCCCCCTCCTCCCCCCCCTCCTCACTGCTTTCCCTTTTGGGAAGGAGTGTATCTACTGGGAAAAATGGGTCGATCTAACTCTAGATCGCATTCTTCAAGATCAAAGTCCAGATCTCAGTCCAGCTCTAGGTCAAGATCCAGATCACATTCTAGAAAAAAGAGATACAGGTAAATTGATATCCTGCTGCATGAAAAAWTGGTTAATGAATTGTTATTTATCTGGAAATTTACTTTTTCACTTGCATATTGCTGTGGCAAATGTTAACCTGGGATTTTCTTTCATTTTAGACAATATGTAAATTCTACTTTGAATGTAGTTTCCTTTAATACGCAACTGCTCTGCTCTTTGCCTGTACCTCAAGAAAGTTTGAGAATGCTAACAGTTCTTCCTGGTTTATGGATTTTTTTTCCCTTCCTTCCCTTCTCTTTTCTGATGGTGCTTTCTTATATCCAGTCTTTTTCTGTGTGATGTATTTTGTATTTTTTTCATGAAACTTTTATTTCATGTGCAGTAAGATAAGGCTCAGTATAGATAAGCTTTGTAATATCTTACTGATTGTAATTGCTTTCTCAGTTGCTTTCAGCTTTTTCTTCATCTTTCTTACTAGTGGATATTACCAGTTTCCATAACAGGAGTAGCTGAATTGAATATTTGCTGCCTCATCAGCTGCTGCAGTCCATAGACTGGCATATTAAAATAAATTGGAGGTGATGTACGTCCATATCTCATTCAGGCTGTGAACTGTGGTGGCTGAAGAACTGAAAACTGCCACTGAGTGGTCATCCCTAATAAAATCTTAGGCTGTGCCACGGGGGCTGGTAATGTCTTAATGAGGTGATGCTGAATTCCAGAGTTTCACAGTCCTTTGAGTATAGGTGTGTTGGTTATAACCTGTTACACAGTGGGAAATTTAATAAAGGTAGAATGCTATAGAATTTGTTATCTTTAAGACCAGGTCTGCTTTTTTTACCATTCAGAGTGCATGTGAGTGACTTGGGGATTAGTGTGTTGTTTGTTTTCTCTCCCTCCTCGAATGTCCAATGTTAATGTTTGCTTTTTAATTTTAGTTCTAGGTCTCGGTCGAGGACATATTCACGATCTCGCAGCAGAGATCGTGTTTATTCTAGAGATTATCGCAGAGATTACAGAAATAATAGAGGAATGAGACGCCCCTATGGTTACAGAGGAAGAGGTAGAGGGTATTATCAAGGAGGAGGTGGTAGATATCATCGTGGAGGTTATAGGCCTGTCTGGAACCGAAGACACTCCCGAAGCCCCAGGCGAGGCCGGTCACGTTCCAGAAGTCCAAAGCGAAGGTCTGTGTCTTCCCAGAGGTCCCGGAGCAGATCTCGTCGWTCTTACAGATCTTCCAGGTCCCCAAGGTCCTCCTCATCTCGTTCTTCATCCCCATACAGCAAATCTCCTGTCTCTTCCAAAAGACGTGGGTCTCAGGAAAAGCAGGCAAAGAAAACTGAAGGGGCTCCTTTGCAAGATAGCCCTTTGAAAAATAAATCACAAGATGAACCGAAAGATACGTTTGAACATGACCCATCCGAGTCTCTTGACGATTTTAACAAATCATCAGCAGCTTCTGGCGACATTTGGCCTGGCCTTTCAGCATATGATAACAGTCCAAGGTCACCCCATAGCCCTTCTATTGCCACCCCACCTAGTCAGAGTTCATCTTGCTCCGAAGCCCCTTTGCTTAGCACAGTCCACTCAGCAAAGGACACACCTCAACATTCCCATTCCATTCAGCATAGCCCTGAGAGGTCTGGCTCTGGTTCTGTTGGAAACGGTTCTAGCCGTTATAGTCCTTCTCAGAATAGCCCATTGCATCACGTCCCTTCGAGGAGAAGCCCTGCAAAGACWATCCCAGCACAGAGCGCTCCCCGGGAGGAGGCTCGGGCGCGTTCGTTTTATCCTGAAGCTGGAGATCAGGAAACTGCTAAAGGGGGAAAGTTTCTGAAAAGGTAAGAGTTGCACTATAAAACTCAAGTTGTGTCTTAAAATGCTTCTTACAGAGTTTGGGCTCGATTTTCACTGTGCTTTGGAGAAAGCAGTGTGGGAACACTGTTGAGTGTTTTATAAATTTTAACCTGGTTTAGCTGAAAACACGTGCCTTTTTTCTCACTTAAGACACTCTTGGCTATTAACTAGTAAGATAGGGATCTGTGTGCTTCACGAACAATCTGTTTGTCCCTTTCCTTTACAGTATATTTCTTATATAGTCTGATAAGAAAATCTTAATAGAAGTAGTGCGTCAGAGTTGCTTGACAAGGTGAATTCTGTTTTAAGTACTTTAAACTTTTAATGCTTCGTGTAGTTTGAAATAGAAATCTTCTGAAAGTCGGTGACAAAACAGGTTTCGTGCRATTTCTTTATTAACGTAAACAGCGTTCATTCCAAATTGTGTAGTGCAGTATGACAACTTTGATGCCCTGCCTTGCATTACTTAGGAAAGAGGGTAGGTGTTGGTGTTCCTGACACGTAATTTTAGTGACAAGAAGGACAGTGTTTAAACTTGAATGTATGTTTCCAGTTACCGTGAAGTTCTTTTTTTTTTTTTTTCAAATGAGAACAATCAAAAAACATGTAAACATGTGGACATTAGACTGTCCTTTTTTGTTTTGAGTTTTACTTTAGGAGATTTTATATAAAATGAGATATAAAGAAAAGCTGTCTTCTGTTCTTAAATAGATTTTTAAAAGATTTTGCATGTTTTTGTTATTTTTTTATATAGAAATACACTGCTAGGACACCAAAAATGCAACTTTCTGTATCTTGAGGTGTATCGTAGCAGGTGAATGTGCTAGGACCTTTGTCAAAATCTTTTACAGATTAAGTAGTGACTAGAATAAGCTTTCATTTATAAATAYGTTCCTCTGTTTAGGTAAGCTGTTTCTTAAATGTGCCCTGCTTGTGCACAGTGATTGAATTAAGCAAGTGTCAAATTTTGGACCTCTCTTAGACACGTGCAGGATCTTGAAGACGATTTCTTTTTAATGGTATTCTTTTTGCTAGAAGGAATTCAAAAATTAATTGCAGTCTGAACTGTCATTTTTTTCTGACAAAATGACCAGTGTAAGAATATGTGAAGCTGGGTACCAATTAAGAAAGAATAAACAGATTTTTTTTAATAAACTCAAGCAGATAGTTTCTAGGTGTTTTGCAGAAAGGCATTATTTTCTTCAAATGCTTCAATAACGTAAATGACTGCGTACGTAATTACTTCCATGCAAAAACTTAAATGCTGAGTTGCACTTCACAGTGGAACATACTTTCTTCTTCTTGATGTGGCATTGACACAAAAGAGAATTGCAAGTGATGAACTGCAATGAATGCAATCCAGAGTTACCAGTCTCTTCTTTGCTATCCACAGGTACACAGATGAAGAGTCTAGAGTATACCTGCTTGATAGGGGTAATACCAGGGAGAAGGAGGCCCAGAAGGAGAGAGGATCAGAAAAAGGGAGGACAGAGGGAGAAAGGGAATGGGAGGATCAGGAAGCTTTAGATTACTTTGTTGATAAAGAGCCCGGGAAAGAAAAGTTTAATGACTCTGAAGGGGAGGACACAGAGGAGACAGAGGATTATAGACAGTTCAGAAAATCTGTCCTGGCAGATCAGGGTAAAAATTGTCCTACTACATCTCACCGGAATGCTGAGGAGGAAGGAGCCAAATACAAATCTAAAATATCAATGAAGGGCAATAGAGAGAGCGATGGATTTAGAGAAGAGAAAAGTTATAAGCCTAAAGAGACTGGCTATGTAGCGGAAAGGCCTAGTGCAACAAAAGATAAGCACAAGGAAGACGACAAAAGTTCTGAGAGACTAACGGTGAAGAAAGAAACTCAATCACCTGAGCAGGTAAAGTCTGAAAAGCTCAAAGAACTCTTTGATTACAGTCCCCCTCTACACAAGAATCTGGATGCGAGAGAAAAATCCACCTTCAGAGAGGAGAGCCCACTTAGGATCAAAATGATAGCCAGTGACTCCCACCGTCCTGAAGTTAAACTCAAAATGGCACCGGTACCTCTTGATGATTCCAATAGGTAAATTATTCCACCTTAAGTGTAGTTCTTCACCCACCTGCAGTGACCCTGCTCTTCATTTAAACTCTTGGTTTCTCTTTGTGTGTCTTTCTTGTTGTTGTTGTTCTTGTTGATACGTTTTAGACCTGCATCCTTGACTAAAGACAGGCTGCTTGCTAGCACACTTGTCCATTCCGTCAAGAAGGAGCAAGAGTTCCGATCCATCTTTGACCACATAAAGTTGCCACAGGCCAGCAAAAGCACATCGGAGTCATTTATTCAGCACATAGTGTCCTTGGTTCACCATGTCAAAGGTATGTACTCAGTTTACTGTGCCAAATACACCCCCCTGACAACTACATTTAAGCTTGTTTCCTAGGGTTATCTTCAGTGCAGGAAGATTTTGGTCCTCTCTTAGTGTTGGTTTAGTCTTTTATCTTTTGAGGTACGCACAAAAATATGTGGGAAAATAATAGCTGCAGAAGCAGTAAAACTTAGATTTCTAGATAATTTTATTGAGTGTGTAAAGCTTTTCTATTTTTTACTGGAATTTAAGCATGTTATGTTGGTCAGTCTTTGGTTTTAAGTTAATAGTTTTAACATCTAATGTGATATTAAGCGGTACAATTTGTGTTGAGAGATGTCTTTTGTACTATCAAATACAATGACCTCCCTTACGAGACACCTGCCGAGGTCATTTCCTAGTGCTTATTAGAGGTTCCTTCCCCGGCCAAAACAATAACCCTTAATGAAACTTGTGGTCTGTATGATATTACAATACACTAGGAAATATCACTATGAAATCCCATTTTAGTCTTATTTAGTAGACCCTTTCAGCACCAGTAGTGGTGCTGGAGATGGGAATTATGTTTGTAGGAACTTGGCAGTAGCTAAATAAATCTGAGTGAATATGACACATACGTTGTATGTGTTTTGCTTGCTATCGTTAAATTAAAACATTATCTCGGGAATAAAACAGATAGTATTTGTGACCTAAACAAAATACAAGCTTGTTGTTTGATGACTTTGATTGAAGGATTGATAAGTCTTTAAAATCTTTTGAGGACATCTAGAGAATTCTTTAAATGAGCATCAACATTTTTCATATGGCATTTATTTCACTGGCCTGTTATCTTGTGTTTAGTGTACTGAAATAATAGGGAAGAACTTGCTGGTGAAAGTAATTCCACTGCATCAGTGTGCAAAGGGAGAATGTGGAAATGTTTGCTTAAGTGCCCAGCTTCAGTATGTCTGTAAGCATTGTTTCTAAAGATGCTTAGCTGCTAAAATTGCAAATAACTTCGCACTAAAGGTGTATACTAAAATTCCCCCAATTTCCATTTTGTTGCCAAAAAGCTAACTTTAGATGAACAAGGGCAAGTGATCTTACAGACTGTGAAGAACAGTATCTCTTCTTGATATGTAAGAGATTCAGGCCTTGATCCAATGAGCTTCTGCAGATGTTGGCTTATATGGTACATGTCTATGCTGTAGGTGAATAATATTCCCAAAGCACTTCCATGTTGATCACAGAATGCTTAACTTGTTTTTCTGTAGACGTTTGTATGTTAAATTAAAAAGAATACCYGGGAAATATATATTACTTAAACAGCCTATCTGGTGAAGCTACTCAGTACATAAAGTTACTGTGATTTCTGAAGGAAGAAACTCTCTGTATGTTTCAAATTTACTGTGGTCTATGATCAGATTTTAGTATGATCTCTTTTGACAAACTGAAGTTATGTTCATTATTGGTGTGATGCAACCAGTCTGAACAGCTCTGTGTTAATGTAGAGCTGAAAATGCCCAGTGATGTTTTCTTTTTCATTATAACTAGGTCCTGGAATGTGTTTTGAAATGGCAAAATCCATGTTACAAAAGTAAAATAGCTGTTGAAAGATACAGATGCCAAACAGGCAAAGTTGAACCTTCTGTCTTCCTGGCAAAAATGGCATAAAAACAGAGTTGCTAGCTCAAATTCCTGTGTTTGATGGAATTATGATTGAGGCACTACCCTTGTAGTGGCCGTTTCAAGTTTTAATGGTTGGTTATGAGACAAATACTGGATGCCGGGCGGTAAGTTGATACAGATGTATGTTGACCTGTTAAGCAGATAGCTTGCTTCATATGTAACATTTCATAGTTCATGACTTTATGTATTCTATATTACATTTAAACACATTCGTTGAGCTGGTTTAAAAACCTAAGTTTTGCTGTGGCTAATTTAACTATCTCTGAAGGCAAGAGAAAATTTGTGAGAAAAGCTGTCAGGTTTGCCAAGATGCCAGATGCTTAAATAGATCTGTTTGCATATAGGAGTGTGACTTGTCTTGAATTGTTTATCATCATAATTTAAAATTGAGAAATTTTATGTTTTTAAGAAATAACCTTTTAGGCCATTCATGTAATTTACTGAAACATTCATTACTTAATATTTTCACTAAATTCTGTTTTAAGTTAAAGATGAGATGAATTATAAAACGTGCTTCTTACTGTAACTGCTGTTACTCATGGCGCAAAGTAACTTCATTTTCTCTTATGGGTAAAGGATAAAGAAGTAACTTAAGATAATTTCTCCTTTCTTATTGTTAGAGGAAAAACTCACTGAAAAGGAGCAAGTCTAATGAGTAAATCATGCTTGAGTTAGATGTAGCTCAGTCATGGCATAGTTATAAGTAGACTTGCAGTGATGCTGTGCACTGTTGCTTGTTTGGGGTACAGATAATGTACAAGTAGAGAGAACTCCACATTTGCTTGTCTTTCTGATATATTTATTGAAAATAATATGTTTTTTTGCCGGCTACATGCCTTTGTCAGGAGTAGAATAGCTATATCAGTTGATTTAAACTAATGAGACAGTGTTTCTCTATTGTAACCAACAGAGCAATACTTCAAGTCAGCTGGAATGACCCTAAATGAGAGGTTCACTGCATATCAAAAGGCTACCGAAGAGCACTGCACCCGACAAAAGAGCCCAGAGATACATAGGTACATATCAATTGCATATGTAGGTGCTTTGTGTTTCCAGTGATGTTATATGCTGGTATTTCATTTGAGAACCRTGAGACTTTTTTTTTCCTAGTCCGTGTGGAGTAATTTGTCAGTTTCTGTGTAAATAGAAAACATCTTTTAGACAAAGAAAATCTTTCCTTGAAAAACCCCTCGCTCGAGTCAACTCTGGCTTCGTCTGCAGCTTTGTAACAGATGCCTTCTCTGCCTCGGTCTTACTTGGAATGTATCTGTTTTTCTCATATGCACTGCTCAAATGTTGAAGGGCATATGTTTAGAAGATGAGTGTAAGCCCAGTAATGTATCTTTATTCTTAAGTGTGAAATGGACACCTTAACTTCCTTAGTCCTTGTGTGTGTTAATTTATAGCCATGTTTGTTTAAAAACAAAAAAGTTCCTAGAATCTGGAAGGTAAGGGGTAAGTGTGCAGATGTAATTTCCCGTAAAGCACCGTAGTTGTGTAAGAGTGTGCACAATATTATTTGTGCTGCATGTGAGGCTCTATTATCTCCGTATTATCCCCTGACAACGTAGGAGATAACGTACCAGGTAAGTATTTTCACTGGGTTAAACTGTGTCGTAATATTGGTTGAGTACTTGGGGTATGTGGGGAAATAGACCACCTACATTTACTGTCTGTTGGGAATTCTCTTTGAAGCTTTTCATATCTTTGAAAGGTTAAAATATGAAAATGAAACTGCATGTTTTGTGTATTTGTATTTTCAGCATGTTTTAGAGGAAAATAAAAATTTTCCATTTTGAGTGTAATTCTATAATCTATTCTGGTAGGCTTTGTATTCAAAAAGGTTGTTCTACTGCAAAAATGCCTTTTTTTCCTCAGATTTCTTTTGGGAAGAAATCTCTGAAGCCATAAACAGTCACATACACATATGGCTAGACACTGCTTTTATTTTGCATTTAGGAGGATTGACATCTCTCCAAGTGCCCTGAGGAAGCATACCCGTTTATCGGGTGAAGAGAGAGGCTTTAAAGAAGAAAGTCAAAAAGTAGGTTCTCGGTAAACTTCCCACCTGTATTTCTAATCTTCATTTGGTGTGTTTCCCTTTGAACTTGAACTTCATATATAAACATAATATAAATCTTCCAAAAAGGCAAAAGTTTGTATTTATAGTGTATTGAGTACTTGGGGTTAGAGACTTACACATTTTTATTTCTTTTTTTTTTCTTTTTAAATCTCTGATTTAATCTCTGTATTGGTAGTGAGGTGTTAGAAGGTCAAGTTTCCCACCCCACCCTCCTTTCCTTCTCTTGGACGTTTTCTTAGTCAGCTTTGTGGTTCTGGGCTGCTTAAAGACAAAGAATAGGAGAAAAAAAATCCTGAGATAATTTTTCAGTAGTACAGTTGAATGGATAAGGTGTTTGTGTTCTGCTGGAAACACAGCTGGGAGAAATGTGTGTGTGTGTGTGTGTGTGTGTGTGTGTGTGTGTGTGTGCGTGCGCGCGCGCGCTTGTCTTCCCAGACCATATGTTTGTCTGCGTCAAAAAGTTGGTCTTGTGTTGGCCTAGTGGGAAAACTTTGCTCAAAAGTTAATTTCTTATCCAAGTTTCTAGCTTAGTGTTATCAGACCCAAAAAGTTGCTTATAAAGAACTTTTATTAGATGTCAACTTACATGCCAAGGAGCCTCTTGACAACTAGGTAAATTCCATCTTGTCTTTTAGGAAGTTGAGGTGTAATTTGCCTTTTAATATACATTGCATTCTGAATGTTTACCTTGAAGTCGTGTTTTTGCAATACATTTTCCCTTGCAGGGAGACAAAAAGTTAAGGTGCGACTCGGCTGATCTTCGGCACGACATTGACCGCCGTAGAAAAGAGCGAAGCAAAGAGCGAGGGGACTCAAAGGGTTCCAGGGAATCCAGTGGGTCAAGGAAGCACGAGAAAACTGCAAAAGATTACAAGGATTACAAATCTTACAAAGATGACAGGTAAATGTTTGAAGTCACTGCGTAGGTTTTTAGCTTCTAATTAGCTTTTGTAATTGTAAGCTTAATTGCTTTCAATTTTCAATGTGTAACGGAACGTTTAAATTTAAACAATTAAAATTATTTGTTTTACAGCAAAAATGTATTATCTGTCTTTTACACGGCTTATGGTGGATGAGGACAAAAACTTTGGAATAGCAAGCTAACACTGAAAAAAAAAAATGACAAATTAATCTGTCCTATTATCCAGGCTACATCAGGAGGTTGGACTTCAATGCAGTACATTTCTATAAACAGTTTGTGTAAGAACTTTGGTTCGTTATGCTTGATTCCGCACTTTTTCAACTCATAACACCCAGAATATGAGAGTTTTACTGATGTTTAGGTTTAACATGGGTGAGAGGGGAGTATTTATTTTCTTTCTAAAGCCAGTGGGCTGCTTTTAAGACAAAGATGTTAGCATGTGTCAGTGGATACTATGTAGCAGTGGTAAGAGTTGCTTCTGGTGTGACTGTCCTTTGGATATTTGTAAAAATCTTGTAATTCGGGTCAAATTAGTGCCACTAGGGGGTTACAGCAAGCTTTTTTTTTTTTTTTTTTTTCCTCTTGCCTTATACTGGGTGTACAATGTACTTAGGCTTTGTTTTTCCCATTTGCTTTCTGATTTTGGTATCCACATTATTTTCCACTGGCTAGTTCTGTACAGGCATCTTCATAGGGAAACCCAAACCATATGTACTTCTCAACAGTGTGCAAACTGAATTATGTAGTTATTGTGAAAATTTAGCCTTGAAGGTTTACTTGCCTTTGGCTTCTGTTTCTTCTGCCTCAGAAGAAAAGCAGATTTTAAAAGAAATAGTAACAGAACCTCTTCATGGCATCAAATCCTAGAACTAACTCTTTGCAGTTTGCAGACTGCTGCTTTCCAGCTTGCTAGCGATAGTGTACATGTAATGCTTTTAAAGGAGGATGGAAAGTGAAATTAAACATCTGAAATATGTAACTGATATGTGATATCATAACCAGAAGGGGAGATAGCTTGTGTGTTTTTTTCCATAAAATAGAAACAGAGAGCCCTTTTTAGTATAGTGTATTACAGACTATAGTGCTTTTAAAACAGCACACAGTATATCTTTTTATTTTTCAGTAAACAAAAAAGAGAGCAAGACCGTTCTCGATCCTCCCCATCTTCTCCATCTTCCTCATCCAGTTCTCGAGAAGAAAAGGACAGCAAGAAGGAGAGAGATGAAGAATTCAAAACCCACCATGAGCAAAAAGAATATTCCAGTTTTGCGGGAGTCAACAGGCCAAGAGGAACCTTTGTGAGTTGCCCTTCTCCTAGTCTTCCCCCAAACTGTGAATGAAATGTTATTATTGTAATGCCAAGATTCACCTCTCACAATTGAGACAAAGCATGTGAATCCCCCAAGAAATTGTGTTGAATATGTTTTGTTGAATCAACTGTCTTAAAAATAAGGCTAAGAACAGTATGACAAAATGTTGCTGTGGCTGCTTTTTTTTTGCCTTTTTTTTTTTCCTCTCATGGTTCTGAATAGCACTTCTCAGCATATGAGTTCTCTGACATCTAGCAAACTTGCAAACAGATTTTATTATTTTTTAACACTCTCCAACAGCAGTTAYGTTTGGTGTGTAAAGGTGTAATCAATTAGTCATAAAGACAAAGGGCGGAGGGTTTTTTCCCCCTCTTTTTTACAATTTTAATTTTCTGGGAGAATCTTACACTTCCTTATAAAGAAGTCCTAGGATGTGTTACCTCTTGCTTCCTGCAGTTTCAATTTTTCCCATCATTTCAGTTTGATTTGTGTTCCTCCTTTCAGTAGATACCTGCTGCTTGTTGTTAAATAAGTGCCCCGTAATTAAATGTCCACCAGCCTTGAGGCAGCTGTGGTAGGGCGAGGAGATGGGCTGCTCCCTGCTGCTCTCTGGATGGCCTCAGGCAGCAGCAGCCAGCGTGCCAGCTAGCTCGGGAATGGGTTTCAGCATCGTGAATTCAAGGTGCAGTATTGAGCACCATTTCAGAAAATGTTTCGAGGCACTAATCTATAAGAAGGTGAAAATCACTTGTTAATGCAGCTCACTACTATTTTACTGGGGAAAAATAAGAGCATTAAAAATGAGGAAGTGGTAGGGGAGCCCTTGTAAAGATGAGGAACAYGGAAAACAAGTGATGCCTTTAAAAAATAAGCTCTGTTTGCAAGGAAAAAATGTCACATAGCCTGACTCAATGGACAAGAGTAGTTTCATGTTTTTTCAATTTTTCATGTAGCATGTAGTTGAGACTAAACAATGTTAAAAAAGGCTTTGCTTGGTGCACATAAGTCTGGTACAAAAATACACTGAATTTTGTTTTTAATCATGTAGAGGAATGTTTTGAACTACATACAAGAATGTTTGTGAAATGCACCTGGATTGTGCAACACTGACTTGTGCTTTGCAACTTGCATCTAAAAAGTGGAAATGCTTGGTGGGAAAACTCAAAGTTCAAAATTAGTATAATGATCAAAATATTTTTTAAACGAGAAAATAGGAAAAACAGTGTAATTATACTGAACATGTTAGCTGTGTGACCTAAATGTTTAATACTTCAGTGATGTAGCTGTAAAGTATGACAACATTAGCATGATCATTTTAAGAGAATAAGCTAGTAGCACTGAGTTAAAACAAGGTGAGTAGAAGAAAAGTTTTGTAATTACTGGAAAGTAATTGCTTTATAAAAACCAAAGTGTATGTATCATGATAGGATGCTGCCCTACATATAATTTAGGTATATATGAATTGTAAATTTAATAAACATGTGCTGGTTTTGACTACTGGTAACTGCCAATGCTGCCTATGCAAAAATAAGTGGCAAGCGTTCCCAAATGGCACACACACCTTCACACCCACGCACCCACAAACTGCACACCCACAGGACAAACTGTAGCAGAACAAGAGAACCTAAACAGATAGGCAGGCCAACCTCTTGTCTTAAAACTCTTGTTTAAGATTGCAGACTGGATAGGATTGAAAGCGGTAAACTGGCTAGTCTAGAAGTGTCTCTGTAACCCAAGACTAGTAGTTAGTGTGTCCAGTAAATACTGCTTTGGTTGTGGCATAAAGAATATTTCTCAACTTGCAACAGACACCGCTGCTTCGCTCCTCATTGGGAGGGAATGGCCAACTGAATAGGAGAGATTTTAATGGAAATGAAGATTTTATGTTAAATTGGCACTGATTCTTTTCACTAATGCTTAGTAGTAGTTGAGTATGTTTGTACATAATAGCCATACATATTCTGAATAGCTTCAAAGGAGAAATACGCAAATAAAATAAATTCTTTTAATGGCATTGCTTCTAGTATCTAGCTCCCAAAGGAATTTGTCTTTAGGTACTCCGAGTAAAAGGAGTTTTTCTATGGAACTAATTGCTTTTTCTTTTCTCCCCCTCTGTTTTGTTTTCTTGTTTTGTCTTTTGCTTTGTTTCTGCATCCTTTTTAATTGCTTATTGTTCTACTTTTTGTCCTAATTTTGCAAAAGTTCCAAAGCTATTGGAAATAAAGCATTTTTCTATTTTTGTACAATTTTCTTTAGGCATTTACTTCTCACTTTCTAAATAATTCTTAAAGCAATCCTTTCTTTCTCTTTGAATATAATTTGCCTGCACTATACTGGTAGGTCTTGTGTCTTCTTTACTGGACTGCTGCTTTGTCTGTTTCAAGGTACTGTTAAAGCTGTCCTGTATATTCTGTATTAGGGAAATAAGTGTGGGAACAGGTGTGGATTATACTCCTTGTAGGTTAGTTCACAGAACTAACAGGTTAGTTAATTGCTTCTTTTTGATCAGTGTTTTATGGACATGCTTATTGTTTCCAAATTAATTTCCAGCCATATTGTTTTGGGTAGCTGCATCTGAAAACCTGGAGTTAGGGGCTGCCTTTGGAAAGCACGATCTAGTAGCCACAGGTCCACACTTGCATACAAGGAGCACACTCCCTTGCCAGGCTGACCTTCCTTTCCCTTTCGAAGGGAGCTTATCTAGATGAACTGCTAATGTTTGCCACAAGCTAAGGGTGCCCATTCAGAGGAAACGCAGTGTACTACTTAGCATATTCTGAGTCGAGTGGTGATATATCTTCTTTCTTGCTATGAGATTACATTTTAACTTAGTATTTTAACATCCTGCTAATTCATTGTGAAGCAGCGTATTTAAGACACTTCACTCCAGGCATTGTTACTTCATGTAGTGTGGATATATTACTTATTTTCTGAGTAAGGCACTTCAGGCAAATTACATCTCAAAAGAGAGGAGTACATTGAATATCAATTGTGAACATTTTATGAGTAACAGGTAGCCACACTTGCCTAGCACTGCATTGTTCATACATGTTTATCTTAGAATTACACTCTCATAACAGGTGGGTTTGAATGACTCCATAAATGACGAGACCTTTTTCTTATCTTTTTTAGCTTTTCTTTCCCCTCCTTATTTCTAACTTCTCTAGCTATTTTTGTCTGTGAACAGCTTTAGAAATTCTCTTCTGACCTTGTTGCAACAGACTGTTCTTTACCAGAAGTCCAAGGACTTTCTTTTTGGTGGTTGTGGGTAAATTTATACCAAAATTCAAATGCGTTTCAGATTTTAAGCTTAAGAGAATCATTATCTCAAATGCTTGAATACATTACTTAGTTTTAAAAATCACATATTACCTTGATTTACAATTATGTATGTTCTATTTGAGAACAGAAAAAAAGCATTTTGAGTAATACAGAAATTGACTTTTTGCTTTGTGGCTCTATATGAATGGATTAAATAACATTTTCGTTAATCAGTTTCGAATTAGGGGCAGAGGAAGAGCCAGAGGAGTTTTTGCTGGAACAAATACTGGTCCCAGCAATTCAAATACTACTTTTCAAAAGAGACCGAAGGAGGAGGAATGGGATCCTGAATATACTCCAAAAAGCAAGAAATATTTCTTGGTGGGTGTGGAGAACTCGCTATCTTACGCATGCATTTGTTTTCTCAGAGTGCGTTTTATAACTGCTGTGAAGGAGATTGTTTCTACACTCATGATACTTCTCTGACTGTAGCTGTCAATGCCTTTAGGTGGATAAGCATGAGAGCATCAGAATACCTGTAGTGCTGAGCCCTGCTTCTTGCAGCCTTCTGCAGCAGGCTGGCAGTAACTGAAGATGGAGACAGAATTCATCCTCAAACTCTTTTTATCCAGGGGGATGGGGAGGAAGGTGGACGGAGCTTAAATTATTAAAAACAAGGTTAAAAGCAAACAGGCTAGCACCCTTAAATGGTTTTATTTCTAAATGGCACTGAAACTTTGTYGGTCTGGAAATTTGCAAAGTGAAAGATGAGGAAAAGCTGACAATACCTGTGGATGAATGTGTAGGCTGTCTCTGTTACTAGCCCTGCTGCTCTCAGTTAAGTAATGCGRTAGTCATCTAGAAAAAAACTAAAATAAATCCCCCTCCTGATAGTAAAAGGAGAACTTTGAGTGTAACTACCCAGTAAGTAATTTAGTATACTGAATAGTATATTRATAGCCTCTGTTCCAGCTGACTTTCCTTACAAGATGAGGTGTTAAATAGATCCTTCTACCACTGAAAAGAAGGTTAGATAGCRAAGATTAGAACTTGCTCTATACCACTATTTTTTTTCTCAAATATTTTAGCAGGTATTCTAAGAGTATGATCATAGTCAGGATGTTTATACAAAAATGCTCCAATAATAGCTTCATGAGGAAGCTGAATACTGTATGTGTGTGTGTGTATTCTATTTTGTATATATATAGAAAGAGAAAAGAATTATATGTCGTAGAATTAAAATACTGAGCCTTCAGCATTTGCCATTAGCAAACACATAAGCAGAGAGTACTAGAATACAGCTATATGCATTAAACTAGGACTATTAGTTGGTAAAGTGTAAGGTCCAATATAGAAAGTCTTGCATACTTTTAAAAATTTATGTCATTCTGAACACAAGACCTAGGAATTACAGCTTACTTTGTATTCAATATTCAGAATATATTCATATACTTTGTATTAAAATTCAGAACACTTCTTCAGAACTTAAGCTCAGTTCTTAGCTCTCTGTCTAATACTGGAACTATCTAATGCTGGAAACTGTTGTATGATCCTTACTTGAAGTTCTAAATTCATGGCCATCCTTACAGAACAACTGTACTGCGGTGGTATGAGGGAGAAATTGTATTGTTAAAAACAGAGAATTGTAAATTTGTTCAATATTTAGCAAAGAGTGGATGCAAATTAAGAGCTCTCAAAATTTTTATATAGCTTTTCTTCCCCTTAAATTAAACCAACAAACTTCAACRTTCTTCATTTAGTTAAATGTGAAGAGTAAAATAATTTGCTACCTAGTTGTAAAGAATGTCGCCATTGGAGTTTTCTTTGTAGTATGTGTTCAAAACATTCTAGTTAAATTCATGAGGTAGCTACTGCTGACCCTCTTCTTTCAAATAAGTTACCTAACAATCAGCTTTGCTAAYGCATAAGCCATGGAAGATGTGATGATATAGAACAAATGAACTCATTATAGCTTTGTCTYTTTTTTCTCATTTTCAACTAAAAAATATATATATTCTTATTTTATATAGCTGCTAATAAATYACTTGTTACAGATGTAGTCTGTGTTTACTACAGCTCAGATTTCTTTCTAAACTGCAGTTAAAATGTGGAGACTGAACCAAGTGCCCCTCTAAATATAAGCCTCTTCAGTCATAGTTCATAATGTTCCTATAGTTGTCAGATTTATCAAAACATGCAAAGGCTGTATTTGGTAGCAAGATAGCAAACTTTAAGCTTATTTACTTTAATAAGTAAAAGTTGAGTTATGCTGCCTAAATTTAAGTAGTCAGCTAGTTTAAAATTGGCCTTCACATGGGTAAAGCAAGGTTTCTGAATACTGTCTCCTGTTGTATTTTATTAAGAAATATAAAGAACATTATTAGCTTTGCACTATTAAAGTAAAATAGTCTTTTAAAAAGCCTATTCATAGAGCAGAAAGCACAGATTTACTGCTCAGAAATAATGAGTAACCTTATTTATTTGCCCATTCGATCTTCAGTTGTAAGAACACTATTGTGTTATCCTCAACCGTGAGCATTTGAGTAGAGTCGCAGCTAGTGACGGCTCTTAGCTGTAACACTGAATTGCGAAGACATCCTTCATAATGTAACCTAGAGGTTATGAGCTGCACTGTTAGAGAAGTCTGAGCACTTTTGTATGTATGGCCTATATTTTATATGGAATGCCAGCATTTAAGAGGTACTGAAGTGTTTTAACCTTACTCTTTGCATTATTATTGTAGCACGATGACCGAGATGACGGTGTAGATTATTGGGCCAAAAGAGGAAGAGGCCGTGGTACTTTCCAGCGTGGCAGAGGTCGTTTTAACTTCAAAAAGTCAGGTAGCAGTCCGAAGTGGACGCATGACAAGTACCAAGGGGATGGGATTGTGGAAGACGAAGAAGAAACGATGGAGAACAATGAAGAAAAGGACAGGCGCAAAGAAGAAAAGGTACACGGTTCTGCTGGTGGGCTGTAGACACAGCCTCTTYGCAGTATCCCAAGTGACTGAGTTATCATTTCATTCACTTTTAGAGCTTTGTAACTGACAACTTACGTGATTGCTTTCTTTCTTTCCACAGGAATAACCCTGGAAAAAAAGTCCTAGCTGAAAAAGCAGCTCTTGCACCATCCACACAGCATTTTTAATATGTTTTTTGTTGTCAAATGAATGTAAGCATTTTACTTAAATTTTACTGTTGGAAAGTAGTTTAGAGGGATTGTTTTTGTTTTAAGCCTTTAGAAATCTTGATATAGTAAACTATGTTAATGATCGTACAGGTAGAAAGTAAAATATTTGTAACAACTTTTAAGAAATTTTACTGTTTGTTATATGCAGTGTAATTCTGCTTTGTCCAAATATATGGTCAAGTACAACTCAGTTTTGATTCTTCCCCCCATGTCTGTGTTTTATTCTGAAGTAAACTTACAGCTCTGCACACCTGGAATGTTGAGGGTCATTTATTTTATAAATGGATTACTAAATTTGTTGCCTTTTTTTAGGAAAAACTATGRCTGGTCGGTTATATTTAAGAGTGAGAGTTTTGTGTGCCGTTGATCTCATCCTTTAGGTAACAAGAATCAGATTTACACTGTGTTAAATGATAGAAGTTAAACCAGGGTTATCATTCCTTCATGCCAAAGAGCAGCTTGAGTTCTGTCATTAAGAGCAAAATCTTCCTTAGCTTGAAGAAGACGTAGGTATATAAATACTTGAGGGAGTTTCAAGTATATTATTTCTTTAGCTTTTGAGCACTGTATCTTTAATATTTTAGCCAAATTATTAGAATCACCTGGCAACTGGATGAAGAAGTGTAAAAGATGCAYGAGGAAAGGAGGTCATCAGGAGTCCCACAAGGATGAGCCTTGGATGTGCACTGATTGATCTGTAAAAAGGGATTAAAAAAGAGGTGACTTCTTTTATAAAAGCCATTCARAGCAAGTCCACACAAAGATTGAGGATGTTCTTGTAAGACACGTGGTAAATGCAGTGCGGCCTGAAGGGATCCGTGTTCAGACAGACACTCCCAATGTTATGTTTACAACTGCTAGCTCTAAGTTAGCATCTTCTAGGGAATCTAGTTCTGTCCAAAAGTCAGCAGCAGTARGTAGCAAATGAAGTACGAATTACTTGGTGCAGTGGCTGAAAGAGGAGGGCTGGAAAATTCAGTCCCTGGCGTCAAGGAGCTGGGCAGGAGCCCGTGCTGGCGGGGGAGCCKTTCCTGCTCTGGCGGTTAGAGGGAAGGAAATCAAGGGGTGGGCAGGGCACAAGGGGTGGGATGGAGGCAGCTGTGCAAACACAAAGCAAATAAGCAAGCACTGCGTCCCCCCTTGCAGTAACTTGGCAGTGAGCATGGTGAACAYGAGCAGTGCTGCCAGCCTGCGCTACAGAGGTACTCTTGGAGTTTCCGCTGCTGGGAAAACTGACCTGCGAATMCCCAGGTCCATGGGGCAGCAAGGGTGGCTTTTGCTGGTCGTGTCTCGTGCCTTTGCAGTGGCTCATCCGGAAAGGGGGAGTGGAAGCAAAGGTGAGAACCCATCAGTGCTGTGGGCCCAGCAGCGTGAGGAGCACTCTGTTCCCATGGAGAGCCCTGGTGGCAGGAGGCTCTGAAAGCTCCAGGAGCGTTGGGAATCCTGGAATCATTTAAGGTTGGAAGGGAAGTTCACCGCTCTCTGCACATGCAGTGTCCCCTGGAGCATGTGGCACAGGAATGTCCCAGTGCCAGCTGGGGAGGCGCTGGCCCAGCCCTTTCGCCACTCCCGAGGCGCCCACAGCAGGAGCAGCGCGACAGGGCCCCGGGAGGCGCCCTGCAGCCCTGGCGCAGGCCCCGAGAGAAGGGGCTGTCCCTGCGGGCACAGGCACCTCCCGTGGCAGTGACAGCCACAGCTGGGGCCCAGCCAGAGCAGCGCCTGTCCGCTGGAAGCCCTCGGGAGGCTGCGCCTGCCTTCGGGGGCTGATCTGCTTCAAAGGATGTGGTAAACTGCAGGTCTTTAGGACWGAAACCTGTAGTGACAGAGAGAGCAGCAGGCGCGGAACATGGAGTAGCCTGGGGACTCCCTGCACCTGACCTTCCTATGTCCTGCCATGAACTGTCACTCATCAAAAGAGTAACGCTGATACGAGATGAACGTGTGGGCTTGGTGGTGTCGTGGGAAATGCTGGAACCAAGGAATGCTGAAAAACACTGTCTCCTTTACCTTTAGCTAGTTTCTCTCTTTGTACTCYATGTAAATTCTTAAAAAATCAGGAAATGTATGCAGGAAGGGAAATGAACACACAAGCACGCTTGTAACTGTAACAAAACGGCAGTGAGAGGAAAACCGTGGGAGCGTAAACTTGAGAACATGATGTGAGTTTCAGAAGGCGTTTTAGCAAACGCCACCATTCATCATCGTCATCGTCCTCGTCCTGCTGTGGCTTCTCTCCTCGGTGGCTTTTYGACTCCTCAGGCACTGCAGTCACAGCTTCCAAAGAGCCACCAGGAGAAGCAGCCAGAGGCCCCTCTGGCACATGGGGGCGAGGAAGCAGACAGGGACGTTGGCGCCTCGCAGGAGGTGGGTGCTGAGCACTGGGGAGGGCGGCCGCCCCAGCCCAGCACGGCAGCTCCTGCTGGCCTCGCGCGGCGGTTGCAGCTCCAGCTCCGCACACCGGGGCTGCCGGGCGGGCGAGGGGCTGCTGGGGCTGCTGCGACTGGGGCTGCTGCGGCCGCAGCCGCTGCTCTGTGCCCGGCGCGAGCGCTCGGGCAGCGGGGGAGGCCGCGGGGAGGAGCGCGGCAGCGGCACAATGTGGGGCACAGGGGAGGCTGCACGAGGGAAACAACCAAACGGAAAGACACGCAGRCAGAGGGACGGGTTTATTGGGGTGAACAGCAGGGAGCAGGGAGCCCCTTTCAGATGGTGGCAGTGCAGCGCAGCACTGTCCTCCCCACCTCTATCTCCTGCCAGACCTCTTGCATTTCCGCCRTCAGCCAGGGCAGGAATGCTGCCTCCGTATCTGCGGGAATGGAAGGGCAAAGACAAGGAGAAACAGGAAKCCTTCAGTAGCCAGGAAGGGCAGGATGGTGGAAGCTGCTTTTCCTTTGCTGTCTSCAAGGACAGGCTCCATCCAGGGGGGCACAGGCAGGGATGGAAACGTCCCGAGCAGCTGTGGCTCAGGGCAGCCCCTGCCCCTCGCTGGAAGCCTGGCCTCTGCTCTGCCCACAGGCCCCGCTGCCCCTGCCCAGAGGGTTCCTGCCGCCCTCGCTGTCCCCAGGCCTTGCTCTTTGTGCGCAGCGACACATTCTGGGTCCAAAGCACCCCCGGCACTGACCAGTCTCTGCCGGATCACACACGTCCCCGCGCTCAAGGGCGCYGCTCAGGACTGGGGAGGCGGCATCGGCCCCGCGCTGCTTAGCCTCACTTTGCTGTGGGCCCCGGCCCCCTTCCCACAGCGCCGGTGTCTGCYGGCGCGCGGCGCTCCCCCAGGACAGCGCTGCCCCTCACACGGTCCAGCCCTCGGCTCCTGCTCCTTGGAGCCTGAGGAAGATCCCAGCGTGACCACCAGGCAGCAAAGGCAGAAGCAAGGGAATGGGCATAGGGAAACACGCGCATTTAGGGCCTCTCCTTTCGGCACAGCCCTTCCTGGGAACAAGTGTCCTGGGAAAGCTAGCCTGTATTCCATCCCTGCTGCCTCACTCGGGGACGGCTCCAAGGCCTTGGAGCCCCTTCCCAGGCATGGGGCTCSTTTCCTGGGGACAACTCCACCGGGGAGGGAGGAAGTGTGACTGGGGCTGCTGCCCTCAGTTGGAGCTGGATGCCGCAAGGATCTCCAGAAGGAGCAGGAGGTGCTGGGGCTCGGCTGTCGGTGCCGYATCAGCCACACGCGGGCGCAGAGCTGGAGCCGGGGGCTCCTGCGCCACACRCAGCGGCCGAGCGGCTCCGGGGCCATGCGGCACGTGGTGGGGCACCAGCGCCCCAGGCTCCGGCTGCGGGACGGCAGCGGGGCCGGCATCAGCCCTCCGGCCGCAGCCGTTCGCCTGCCCCATGGTGACCTGGGCAGGCTCAGGAAAACTGGTGAAACCACCAACGCCCGGTGCTTCRGAGTGCCAAGGAGCCGGGAGCCTGTGTCTCCCCATGCTGGCACAGTGCCAAACTGAGGGATGGGCACCCGTGGACATGGCTGAGGTCACATYGGGAGCCACCAGGACACACTGTGATTCGGTGGCTGGGATGGAGGCAGCTCCAAGGGTGTGGGCGGAAAGGGGAGTCTCTTGGGCCGTTCCGCATCTCCAGATTCCCACAGGGAGCTGTGGGAGGGCAACTGGTGGGGCCGSGACTCYGCTCCAGAGGTTCTTCCRCGTGCGGCTCTGCAGAGCTTCCCAACGCCAGAGGAAGCTGCTCACTTGCAGTGTGTTTGCTTTAAACCAGGGCTACTCCTGAGCACTGGGGAGTCTGACCTGTGTCCCAGGTGTCTGCAAGGGAAGCACTTCTGCCAAGTGAATAAAAGGAACATCCAGCAGGTTTTCGCAGGAGGACCCTCTCCTGGGGCTTCCTCGGGGGCAGGGAGCCCTGCTCAGCACCCCAGGRCACCCTCGCGCTGCCCAGCTGCAGCCTGCCCGCACGCTCCTCCTCCCAGCACTGCCCCTCTAGGCCAGCTCCTCTCCTGCCCTGGAGAGCTACAGCCAGGAAACATCCCCCATGGAGGCCTCAGTGCCCCTCTCCTGGGAAGCCACTGCTGGAGCAGCAGCAGTGGCTTGGGAACTTCTCCACACACCCACTGGAGCTGCTGTTCTCCATTCACATCCCCACAAGCTTTCTTGAATCCACTACTTTTTTCATGAACCTGAACAACACATTCATGCAGTTACACATGCGACAATGCTTTTATTGAACTCTCGTGTCGTCTACGTTTTGGCGTACAGGCTGTTGCTCCTTTGGCTACGGAGCCCACTAAACCCTCTCTATCACGGGCCCGGCCTCCACAGGCCGAACGGCCGTTCAACCGCCGCGCCGGCGGTATTCAAACCTGCCTCCTCCCCGTCCCCGCCCGCGCCGCCCGCCCTCTCTCTCCCATTGGCTGTGCCATCCCGCCGCCGTCCCACTATTGGCCCGATCCCAGCCCTCCGCCCTGCCGCTGCCTCTGATTGGCTGCCAGCCCCCCATCTCCGCGGCCTCGTGCCTGTTGCTTTATTCAGCCCGCGGCAGCCGTTGGCCGCGCGCTGGAGCCGTTGGCCGGAGGGCGATAAGGGTGGGAGGCCGTGGGAGGGAGCGTTTGGGGCCAGGGGCGTTTCCCGTGGGCCCGGCGCTTCCTGCGGGGCGACTCGGGCAGTGCCGGAGGCTTCGGTGACCKCTTGCTCCTGTGCTCCCGCGTGGCCGGCATGGCGCTGGTGCTGGCTCTCCTCAGGCGGGTGCTGGAGTACCTCGGCTGGCCGGAGCACCAGGTAAGACCCCCACGCCCTGCCCCGTGCCACGGCTGGGTCGCGGCGGCCGTGGGGGAGCTCTCGAGGTTGAGGGGAGGAAGGGCCCTCCCTGGCCAGCCCGCCGGGTGGCGGGGGCTGCGGTTGTTGCCTGCAGGTGGGGTTTGTGGCATCTCTGCTCTGCTTCACTCACACTCACTCTAGTAGTTCCATTTTTCTTCCTCTATTATTCCTCCTCCCCTCCCTTTTTTTTTTCTTCTCCAAAACGGAGTTTTGTTTTACCGTTGTAAATGAGAGAACCATACCAAACAAAACAAAAAGCCCAAATAAAACGCCTAACTAACAATTTTGAAGGAAAGATTAACTCCCTGTGTTTGGAGACCTGACGGGGAAAGATATGGGGTGTGAAATTGGATAAAGTTCACTGCTGTAGCAGCAGTCAGACTTTTCCATTATGTTGCCCTTTTATAAATAAGCTCTTTGCTGAGGTCAGTCACTAGTGAGACACTTGCAGTCCTGAAAACATTGTTTTCTTTTTGTAGAGCTGCTAAGCTGGGTCTAGGAGTGATAGTTTGACCCAACCGTCATGATTGTTTTCTGTTCTTGTTGCACTTCYTGGTTTCATTCTCCTTTCATACCTTGCTTTGTTGACAGGCTGTGTTTTTGGAAACTCGTAGATTCAGCTGCAATATCGGTCGCACAATCAGAACGTGCCTTCCTTCAGCAGCCTCATCAAGAAGGCATTTCCAGCAGCTTTGTGCCATCCTAAGGAACTATCAGGTCAAGGTASATTGAACTTTTTCTTTCTTTACTGTTTTTCCCCAATATTGTTGTAAGTGCTTGCATGTGTGTCACTCAGACATGCTCTTTTTATCACTGTCTCAAATATTACTAGCTACTAAGCTGTAGGCCCATTTGACACTGTAGAATATACAAGCTGTTTCTTGGTTGTCTTTCAGAAACTGAGGCTGGCCAAGTCAATGTGGGCCTGCATGAATTACCAGCTTGTGAATAGGATTGAAAAGATGTTTTAACTAGACTGCATCGTATTTAGTTACATATATTAGCTTAATTCATAAAATGATTGCAGGCTTTGATAAAACTGCAGGCTTTGATTCTAGCTTTTTTGATTAAAAGAAGTTCTGATTTTTAGGTTGTATCTGTTTGTCAAAGAAARGAATATGGACCAACTCGAAGTGTTGTTCGCAGACTTGGCACAATTCTTTCCTTAGAGCCTTGCCCAAGACCTTATTTTCAAGTAAGTAATGTATTTTTATGTGTTTCCTTCAACTATGTTAAGCCTCTACTTGAGTGTAGTAATGATTATACTCTTCTTAGCTTGTGTTATTAGTGCACTACATCTCTTCTGGTCACTATTTCTAACTTGCTTACAGCACTTCATACATATTTTGTTGTTCAGGTACACTTTTTTAGCGTGTACTAAATCCGTTTTCTCTTCTTGTATTTTTTTTGTTTGTTTGTTTTAGCTTGCTCAAGACCCAAGTCCATTGGATTATGAACAAAGCACAGCTCCAACTCCTGCAGTTCCATCACTTGGTGATGTCCTGTGGGTGGCAAACGATGAGGGACAAGCATTTGCTAAATCCAGGAAAGTAAAAGCAGGATAAGCACATTCAAAGGATAAATTCATGTCTCCTATCTTTTAGGGTTTTTTTTGTCTTGCCTGTGCACTTTAATTCACAGATCTGTGGATTTTTTTTAAAAAAATTTTTTCCTCCTCTCTGTTATTTCCATTTTATTTCCTGGCTTTGTGGAATGTTTTTCAGGGACAGTAGTGTAATCTGTGTCTCTTCTGAGCCAGTGTGAAAAGCAAGGGATTTTGCTAAGTCAGAAAACAGTACTTCAGGTGTGGTTGGGAGAAAAGTGATGATGAATATAATGGGAAAAGGCCTGTTTTTTTTTTTTTCCCTTTAAAACTTGATTGCTTTGGAATAAATTAAAAAAAAAAAACTTTTTTTTTTTTCTGTTGCATAACCTCATGTTGATAGTTTCTTGAGTTTATGCCCATTTTATGTTTTAGGAGTATTTCTACAGCCAAACCCTTGAAGCAAAACTTAGAATGAAAAACCTGACATTGGTAGCAGTTTTCTAATTCAACCTGTGTTTGCTTCATGCTTACTAGGTGCTAAGGGTCTTATTATGTAACTGTGYATTAAAATCATGATTGAAATAATATTTTTTAATGACTTTCTCCACTATATTTTTCTGAAAGGTTACTTACAACTACTTAGTTGCCTACATAACTTAATAAAACTGGGTGAAGCCTAAATAAAATTTCCTGATCTTTATTATCTGACTTTTACTAAGTTTGCACTTTGGGGAGGAAGACAGTTTTATGGTGTCAGTTTCATAGTTTTTGAATAGTAACAACTTGGCCCTACTTTATGACCTTGACTTTCTCAAGGATAGATTATATATCCACTTCTTATCCAAATGATGGTGGAGATTCAAGGATTTGTGACTTTCTTGATCTGAGGGAGGCTTAAGACACATTTTTGAGGATATGAGTAATTGAAATGTAAAACTTGGACACTCTTTAAAAAAGTAGTTTGATATCTTGTTGGATGAATGATGAACCAACATGGAATAATCATTGCCAGAGTCCACACATTTAATATCTTTGCCAGACTATTTCTRTTGCTGACTGCAGCTTTTAAATTGTGTCCTTGTTCCTTTCTAGGACTGAGTTGTGGAGAAAAGAAAAAAGTACAGTTCACCATGACCTACGTTCCTCTGTGGTTTCCATACAAAGTGTACCAAAAAACAGTACACAAAAAGACAGTATTGTTGACCAAGAAGCACTGCAGAAGATTTCTGCACTTGAAGATGAGTTGGTCTTTCTTCGTGCCCAAATTGCTGCGATTGTTGCTGGACAGACACTAGGAAGTGTTCCATCACGTAAGCCCTTTGGTTTGAAGTGAACAAGTGTTCATTTATTTCCTTTGCAGCTCCTGTTCAGAGCTTGCAGTGATACTGATAGAGAGCACCTATAATTTCTCTARTGGAAGTGAAACTAACAAAATTAATAGAATATAATGCTTGTTTTCTCTCTTTAATATATGCTTTTTCTTTCTCACTTTTCTTCCTTTCCTTGCCCTTTGTGCATTTAAAATGAAGTTGATGTTGAGTGATCTTYTTACTCATTTCTGTCTTTGTGGAGAAGTGTAGTAATGACACTCTCCATAYGTAGCAGTTAATAATAGCCCGTAAGTTTTAAAATACTATTAATCTTTTCTCTTTTTGGTAATTTGTCAAAGAGTACAAATGGGCMAAAATTCTAAGGTAGTCACGTTCGGTCTTTACCAAAAACAAATGTTGCAAAATAAATGCGCTTAACAGCCACTGGAGTATCAAAGATGGGAGTTCATATAGAAAGCCAACCATCTGTTAAATCTGTTTTGTCAAATGTCTTGTGACCTGCTCTTAAGTCCAGATGATTTAGTTACTCCTGCTTTTGCTTCATCTGGGTTATTCCAATCCTCAGGCTACTGGGACTGACCCTTTGCAGGCAGCTTTGTCCCAACCTGTTCCTGATTTGTCCAGTGGACAAACTCTGGATAAAATCCGCTGATCACTCAGCCAACTCAGATCTGTTATTTCATGTGTTCTAGGTCTCTCACTTTGAAATTGAATTTGTGATTTTTTTTTTTAATACAATTTTCTCTGTGCTGTGGTATGTGAGATGGGTAATAAAGTGCTTAAACTGTTTTATTTTGACTAAAGATTGGTGCTAGACTTGATGTTGATTATTACTGAGGTACTAGAACTATTAAAAGTAAAATCCTTGTTTCTCTCTTGTTACATGCAGAAACCTTTAAGACATTTAGCATCCCAGATGGATTTTACCCAGTGCCAGCAATGACTTCCACACCCTTGTCGATCTCTCACAATCACTTTGTCATTCCCTCACCTCCTCCACTGCCCTCTGGGACAGCATCTGGTGTTGAYGCCAGTATTTCAGCCGTTGAACTTATAAAACAACGTCGTGCTGCAAGAAAGAGCAGTTCAACTACTACTGATAGTGCTGATAACCAGAGGACAAAGAATGTTCCTAGTATGATGGATGTTTTGAAAGATCTAAATAAGGTTCAGCTGAAAGCTATTGAGAGGTAGGTTTAATTATGTGTTTGAGGGACTTGAAGGCAGTATTAGTGTCACTGCATTTAAGCAGCAGCAGAAAATACCAATATAAAACATTATTGAATGATTTGCCAGTTACTGCTGGCAAACTGAGGATGACAGCCTTTAAGTTCATAACTTGAAATGCAAGATATGTGTGACATGGTTTAAGTTTCATTTAGAAATGCTGAATCTTGCATCATTTGAAACTAGGCTTGCACTTGTGTACAAATTTCAGGGTGTTTTGGAGTGTTTTGTGGGTCTGTGTCTTTTGAGACTGAGGCGATCTCAGAACCTACTCTGACTAAAACTTTCTAGTTTCACTGTGAAGAGATGCAACAAAAAATTAGAGAAACATTGCAAGCAGTTAATATACCCAAAATATTGTGGTGCTAGCTTTGAAGTGTTAAAGGAAAATAAATGTTGTGTCTTTTAGATTATAAATACTTGCAAGTGAGGTGCACGTGGGGTTACAAAAATGCTTTACTCATGACTGTACGTGTAATGCCTCCTCTCAATGGAGCTTTCTTGTTTTCTTAACTATGAGCTTTATCCCTGAAAGTCATTAGCACCAAGTACAGGCTCATTATTTGCATGTGTCTCCAGAGCATGTCCATGTGCTTTTGGAGACGTATTCCACCATTAAATCAGCAAATATGCTTGATTTAACGCTCTAAGGTAAAGCAATGTTTTAACTTCACTTGCACATTATGCTGTTAGTCTTTCTAACACAAAATCTGAATTGTGGTACTTTTCACAGAATCCCAGAATGGTTAAGGTTGGAAGGACCTTAACACGTCCTTAACAGGTCTAGCAGGGACCCCTAGAGCCCCTGGCACAGTCTTTCTGTATTAATTCATTCCTGAGAATGGGCTTCGGGTTGCTTTGTCTCTCTTGAAAACAGAAGTCACTTTTTACATGTTTATTTTAGACTCACTTTATTTTTTTCAAACCTATCCAGAYGTTCTGATAGGTAGATCAGCATTATGGTAACAAACTAAGAGATATTTGTCTCCAGGGATAGGTTTTGCTTTTAGCCTTCTGAATGCCATGTGTGATGAATGAAGTGACATRTTTAGGAAGGGCAGTTTAAACAACCATCACCCCGAGCAAGGCAATGCTTAGCAGGAAATAAGAAGTGGGCATCTGAAGTGCTTCCAGAATCCTGGCATCTCTCTGCATCATCTAGGTAGAGCTTAAATGAAAAATGAATTTGTGTCTGTAATAGTTCCTCCTAAGTAATTTCCAAGCCTGGGTAGTTTTCCAGGACAAACTTGATGTTTTATAGTGTTGCTGGAGGTAATAATGGTGATAGAAATTATTAGTTTTTCAAACAGCACTCTAGTTTGACAGTAGTTTAAAAGGTGCCCTGTAAGGGCAAGACCTCTGTTATCTTAAGTCTAGAGTCTGAAAATACTGATTTCTCCCACCTGAGCTCCACATCTATGTGGACTGGGCAAGTGACTTGTCAGTTTGATTTTTGTTGGCTGTAACTTGCAGACCTTGCAATGAGCTTGCTGCTGTCAGCATGTATTAGGTACAATCTCCTGGCCTGTAGATAGCTCCTTTAATAGCTCAAATTTGAACACTCCTAGTTTTATTTATTTATCTTCAAAAAACTAAATGGTTAGGAAAGGTGTGGTGTGTATTCTTTCATTATATTATTTATTTTTCATATTGTCTTTCTTTACAGAGCAGTATCAAGCTGTGGTTTCAGGCTAGGAATCTGGCTGAGAAGTTGTTAAGCTTGTGTTTGTTAATCTAGTTTGATGAATTGCTATAAAATAGCATTAACAGCTAGTATAATCAGGTCTTATAGGATGTATATGAAAGTCAATCTTGCTGGTTTTCAGATTGCTCAGCACAGCAATAAGGGCAAGAGATGGTCTTTGTCTTTGTTCTTGCAGGTCACCTGGAGGTACCCCACTTTCTAAACCTAAAAAGAGACGGAGTTCAGATTGGGATCCAGTTGCTCTGCTGACTCATGCACTTCAGAAGAAATTTGCRCATAAAAACGATGATGAAGATGATTCCTTGGACAAAGAAAATCGATCCTTCGATAGCTCCCCATTTTCTAGTCCAGAGATTCCATTGGTATGTTTTTACAGAAGAATGTATTCTTGTATCCTTGAAGGGAATTGCCACTAACATCAATAGTTGCAGGGCTTTTGAGAGAGYGTTAGAAATTGTCCAAAATGTTTTTTTTTTTAAACTATCAGTTTAGATGGTTGCTTTTTATTTATTTATTTTTATTACCTTCTCCCTTGTCCCCCAAAGTATAATCCAGGAGGAGAGTTCAAAAAGATCATTATTAAAGGTGGATTTAGACTGGTGAATAAACTTCCATATTCACCAAGGGGGTAAAACTGAAGGCCTGAATCTGAACATTTGRCTCATGATTAATTGAACTTTGGAAGTGCGTGTGTCTACAGGCATAGAAACTGTGTGTCCAGTTGGTAATGCTGACTTTATTTTTACAGATAAAGGTGTTGAGAATGGACAGAGAGGTCTGACTAACAAGTGTTATATGTTCAGAAAAMAAAATGAAAATACTGAGTCTTGCATTGCTCTTTGAGGTGACTTTCTGCACATTTTATATCTTTTAAAGTGTATTTCTGAATATTCTTGCTGAGCCTCATGACAGAGAGGTGACCGAGTGCTGGATTGGGATTGTGTAGAGCAATCTGTGCAAGCTGTTTTAAGTTAAACAGTTCAGCAGTGCTGACGGTTGTTTTCTAGAGAATTCTGCAAACATCAGAGCTGAGAGGTCAAAAAGGTGGAAATAAGTGACACAAACTGTCCTTTTCTATTTACAATATTATTTCACTTTTAAGAATATTGCTATTTGGTACTATAGTATTTCGTAGCCTAGTAGAGATAAGTAATACTGCAGAACATATTGTTCTTCAAAGACTGCTGCGGGACTTGTGGCTAGTTTCTTGATTTAAAAATTTAGTATAGCTATAATCTATTTTGTTTGTATCCCCCGCTGTAAAGATATTTTGGAAAAATATTTTAAGTGCCACAAGGACTTCACATGAAATATAAAGCATATGTTTTACGCAGATTATATTTACGCAACGGGTTCAGTGTAGTTCAAGTTCTTTCAACTACCTTCAATGAACTTTAACATTATGTTCTTTAAAGGTGAAAAAATGCAAGCTTATTAAAAATAATCAGTTTTTCTTTTTGAATATGAAATACAAAAGCARAAATCCTGGAATAGCTTCTGTTAAAGTGATTTATGCAGTCCTRGGAGACAGACTGCTTTAAGAGCAGGCTGTTTAGCTAAAGGAGAAAGGCAGGCTTTTCTCATTAAAGTAGTCTGGATTGCAAATTCATTCATATTTTTAATTGGGTACCATTATATGTTTTGAAGAAAAATGGTACTTGAAGCAATTGCATAGGCCTATTCTTCCTGAGCAGAGAGGAAAAATGAAACTGCTCCTACCAACTCTCTGTTTATTGAAAACATCTCTTCCTTCAGTGCTCTTGAAACTGAGGTTATTAATTCCACTGTTGTTTCCCAGGTAGGACGTTGCAGTCTGAAGCCCAGTGCAAAATCCAGCCTCCTAAGAACTGATGAAGTTAAACAGATGTCAACGTGGAAAGTGAAAGCCCATATTTAATTGGTAGTGACTTCTGAGGGAAGTATATAGYGTGTGTATGTAAGTGGCAGGCCCACTTGATGAAACTGCTGTAGTCCGTTCTAGAATGTGCCTCCTGTGCTGCTGAATTTGCTAGGATCTGTAAAAGTCGCTTACCTTAGTTACCCAGCAGCCAAACTTGTGAATGTGATGCTTTTTGGGAAAAGCACACAACCGGAAGACAGATATTTTTATCATGGTGCAGTATGCTGGAAACCTGGGAAGTGCAGGATGTATGAAAGAAGTAATACTTCGTGTGGCAGCTGAATTGTGTATCATGTCTACACTTCTGTGTAAATAATGAAGAGATGTGAACTTTTGGTTAGTGTACAATGTATAACAATGTGTATAATGGTCATTAAYACTGCATGTTCATTAGTGTGATATAGTTTACAGCTCCATATTCTGTGTGCAAGAGGTACTCTTAATTTATTGTGGGTCAGTAGAAAAACCTTTGAAAACTGAAGCTTTGTCTTCCTTTAAGTCATGGTCAAGCAGCCTATTTAATGCCCACAATATGGGAGCGTTGTGTTTTGAGGAAAACAAACAAACTTTGGAGCAAGACTTGATAGCACAAGGGTAGTCTGAATTTCGTTATGTACATGAACATTAACTGCACTGTTATGAAGACTCCTGTTCAGAGTTCATGAATTTATAAAAATTTTCCCTTATATCATGGATATGTATGGTAATATCCTTTTGTCTTGCAGACTTTTTTTTTGTATCTTAAGAGCTGACAGTTTTTGACAATTGATTAAATAATTGTATTACCTAAAACAGGTTAGGGTCGACTGTTTACTATAGTTGCCTTTACTTCTTATTTTGTCTAACGAGGCGATTGTGCAAAAGCAAATTCTTTTCAGTTTCACTGTGGACTGAACATGCCTTGCATATCCTAGATGTCTTCCATTTCCCTGTGCAGGATAGAACAGCAGTGGGCTGCCTTTACATCACAAAGGCTGTATGATGCTTTGTCGATACTTTGTCTTCCTACAGCTGTTTACACAGGTCTAAAAAGTCGTTACTGGACATATCCCATACTCCTTCCAAGTTATCTTTGACTAAACTCTGTATGTAAGGGATTTATCTTCAAATCCTCTCTACTSCATATAGATTTCTCTTGAATTATTGGTAATTATTGAGCTTTCTTTATACCACATTRGAGTGGAAGAACACGACTGAACAGTTTCTCCTTCTGTTTCTGCCTGTCTCCAAGGTCGATGCTATTCCCTAACTTGAAAATTACTGCCTCCTTGTGTCACTSTGTTGCCTGTGACATCTACATGTGATATCTTGTCCTCTATTGGGTGAGCTTAGGGCAATAAAGACAAGACTGTCAGTGTTCYCTTTTGACTTTGTTTTCCTGGCTGCTTGTTGCAGTTTGAAAGTGGTGGGGGGTGGGGGAAGGAGATGTCAATCATTGTGCTAACTGTACACCTGACTGTGGTACTATCAGATTCGTGAACGATCTGTGGACCTACAGAAAAATGGCCTTTCTAGGCATGAATTGAGTTCCTGAATAGTCTGATCAACAATAAGCCTAACTCTGGCAGTAGCGGMTTCACAGTCTGTCAACTGTATGTCTGAGTGCTTTCTAACCAAGTAGTGAAGTTCATGAATAGCATGATTTATTCAAATGCAACATTTACAATGCAGTTTCAGMTGTCAGTACAGGAACTTCTGTACTACAGTGTGGGGATTTTTTTTTAACTAGCTCTGATGCAATCCTCACTCTCCCAGAAGCCAGGAGAGGGCTCTCAGTCTCCAGGAGGTAGTCTCTGAGGGCTCTCAGTCTCCTCAGGTGGTAGACTGACCTGAGGGGAGGAAAGGGGGATCAGCCTATCAGCTGATCCAAAATTTATGATGGAATCTTCCCTCTCATTTCTAAAGCTCCTCAGACAGTGTCTTGACCCAAGGGGAGGAAAGGGGTTCAGCCTSTTGGCTGACCCAAATGTTATGATGGAATCTATCTTCTCATTTCTTTCCTCCTTAGTTCACTCTTTATACCTTTTCTTTACATTCATTTGGTGCTTGAGTGCCTATAGTCATACTTCTTATTGATTGTTGGTGAAAAAGGCTCTTGCTTTCACTTAAAGGTGCAGTCAAAAATGTACAGGCAAGTGCATGCTCAGTGAAGAGTGGTTGTACTTTGGAGGCGGGTAACTTTTGGGATGGTGGTGTGTTTTAACATTATAATGAGCAAAGCTCGAGGAAAGTTCATCCGAAGGCAGGGATTTGCCACCCTTGCTGGCTCCGCACTGGATATCTCAACATGTATCTCCCCTTGGGCAGCTCCTGTGCGRCTGATCAGCGGCCCAGCACAGGGACTGCAACAGCCTTTGGCTGCCGGGTCTTCGCTCTGCTCCATCCTCCCTTACTGCTCTGCAGCTGTGACRAGGGCGGCTTGTGCTGCCTGGGGAGTTGTGGAGGAGCAGAGTCTGTACCTGCCAACCAGCCTGCAAGTGGCAACTGTCTTACAAAAGTCTTTTTTTTCTCTGGGTGCTTGCAGAAGTTTCACTGGTCTATAACTGTGCATCATGTAAAGGCTGAAGAAGACAGTCTTGTTTCCTCTTGAGAGTGAGCAGACCAGCACACATTGTCTATTTCAGCGGCATTAATCTGGATTACTTATAAATTCCCGTGCTGCAGAAATACTTTTTCTCTGTAACACCAGTCAGTGATGGTTTACAGGCTCGTGGCCACGTCGTTGTCCACCACACTGCCAGGTCCTTCTCTTCCAGGTGGCTTCCCAGGCTGCTCGCTGGGGCTGGGGTGCTGCGTCCCAGCAGCGTTGGTGAACACCATGATGTTCCTCTCTGCCCATTGGTGAACACCTTCATGTTCCTCGCTGCCCGTGATGTTCCTCTCCTGCAGGCTGGTGAGGTCCCTCTGAAGGGCTGTGCAGCTCCCTGATGGCACAGCCGCTCCTCCCAGGCCTGTCTCCYCAGGGAATGCGCTGAGGGTGCATGCTGGCCCTTCAGCCTGGTCACTGAGCTCGGATTGAATAATCCTGCATCCAGATGTGACCCCAGACGCTGCCTGCCCCTAGACCCCGCACCGTGGAGCTCTGCCGTCCAGGCAGCTCTCAGCCCAGCGCCCTGGTGCCCACCTGGCCCACGCTTGGGCCGTGGCGCAAGGCCCTCAACCTGCTTGCCCAGCATTGCCCCTGTGGATCCTTGCCGAGTGCTGAACTGCTCGTGTTGCACCACGAGAGAGCAGTGTTACTCCAGGCCCTGCAGTGTCAATCTCGGAAAAAGAAGTTCTGCTTTGCCAGCAGCAGGTCCAGCTACAAATTTTTAATCCCTTTACATTCTTATCTTTTTAATGGCTCTCGCACACAGAACTAGTCATTTGTCGAGGCACGTGCGTCTGTCTTGCTCGTATTGCTGAAAATACCAGGCCAATTTATTTTCTTACCCACACAATCAATCTTCCTCTTCATTTGTGTCTAATGACACAAACARTCAAATGTCTAAAATCTAGGAGAATAGAGGATTTGTGTCAGATGTTAGAGAAGAGCAGCAAGTTTTTCTTGAAGAAATATCCTCTCCTGTCTCCCACAGAATGACTTTTGGAAAAAATTCCAATTGCAATGTAGTACACATATAAAGAGCATTTCTAGTGAACTGCAGGGGTTGGGCTAAAAAGTGGGACATTTGGTCTGTAGTTTCATCTTGTTCTCTCAAATGAGTTGTGCTCTGTTATTATAAGCTTCTATGTTCTTTTCTTTTCACATGTAAGCAATGACTTTATGGGTTTAGGTGAGTGCATAGGCTGAGCAAGAACATATTTGCAGAACTGGGCAAATTTGATTTTTTTTCTGGTGGAATTATAATTGTTCATGAAATAAATGCCTTATGACTTCTGTCTTAAGAAGAAAGGGGGTATTCAAAGTATTAATAGTCATATTGACTGTTGGATCTGTTTGTTATTCCAAGGAGAAACAATGAAAATAATTATGTAATATGAACTTCTTTGGCTTTACAAAAAAATAATTCAGAATTAAGCAAAGTAAACTTTTTCATTTTTTTAAAGGCTCCAACTAGCAAGTGCATGATAGATTCCTCTATATTGCTCAATATACAATGAAGTTGTGTCTCTTTATTCTCAAGATTTCCCATTTGTAGTAAATGTAATATTGTAACAACCAGATTTTTCAGGAAAAAAAAACACATAGTAAGCATTAAAAAAAAATTATTCACAGTGCGTTTTCTATTTACAGTCTTGATGTAGTTTTAAAGTATTTTTGTCTTTTTCTTTTCTTATACTCTGTGAGAATTGCTGCCCCTCTGTATCCATGTCTGAGGAGATGATATCCAGAGAGTTCTGGGAGCTGTTAATGCACCTGTTTGTGACTTAGGATAAGAAACTGCTCATTTATGGTAGATAATGTTAATTTCAATTTTTTGCTTAATTTATATCAAAAGGATTTTGATTCTTCAGATGGACATAGATTCAGTGCATGGATAAGCCTCCAGCCTCCCACTTCCTGTGACCAGACTCTAAGCTCCAGCCCTCAAGGAGATTTTGAGGAAGTTGTGAAAAATATGGAGAGGTATCTGCTTACAATGGATAATTTTGAAAAAAGAATAGAGTGCAGAAAAAAACCTGCAGAATTCTGCTTTCAGTAATGCTTCTGCACCCCCCTTTCTTTTCAATGCAGTGGCTGGAGTGTAACTTATGGCTGTATATTTTAAATAAGGACCATCTTACCTGTCACATCAKCTTGAACTTGAAGAATGGTACATTTACTGCCTCTAGTCTTGCCCTTCTTCTTTTGCCCTTTATTTAACTGGGAAAGTGGAACTAGGGTGATCATTCCCACTTTGGTTTTGCTTTCTACTTCTTACAGAGTAACACAGTACCTACCTTTTGCTCAGCAGCGTTTTCTTGGAATGAATGAACAAAAACCTGTCTAAAGAAAACCTTATTAAAGCTATTTTCAAACTGATGAGAAGGATTTAGTCCACTGGGAGAGATTAAGCTGAAAACCACAAGATTTAATCTTTTTGAAAGAAGCTTTCACATACTTTGCTTAACCTGTAGGACATAATCTAGAAACAACCAAAAAAAAAAGGTTCAAAAAAAAGGTTCAGCCTACCTTCCATGTTTGAGCAAAGGGGCTGGTTCCTGCCTTGTTTCTCAGGATTATAATCACCTGGTGAGCAATAGCTGCTGCTGTAAGGGAGGCCTAGGGAGCACCTCCAAGTGAGCTTAGGGGGGKTTTCTTCATGTTTAGTGCTGCCTTGCAGATGTTTGATGTACTGTGACCTTATTGTTCACAGGCTGTGAGTATGTCTTATTTTTTTAGAGAAAACTATAAAGAACTATAAGAATCTCTGTTAAAAGTTTCAAGATAACAGTCTGGATCATGGGGGTTGGCTGTATGTGYTGCTGCTGAAGTGGATTTTTCCTTTGTCCTTTAGAATACTGTTGTTTTGTAACTGCATCCTATTGTTTGTCACTTATTTTGTCTGTATTTTAGTCATCTTTTTCCCCTATGCCTTTTCTAGTAGGTATTGCTTGAGTTACATGCCATATCTGACTGTCATCCACCGAGGTAGGCTTGATAAACGAGGCTGCTTYTGTTGTGCTCTGTGCTCACTTGTGAGGAAGTGTTTCTGAACAGAGGTCAWGCTCAATGTTCTTGTTTTTAATTTTGTTAAGGCAGGAGCTGCTTTTTATCAGCATGTAGAGAGTCGGAAAGTAACCTGAAATTTGGTGTTTTTAACAACMAAATTAGCTGGTTTGCAGTTGTACTTTGGTCTGATTCAAGT